CCATCAATGCTTTATTCTGTTATACTAAAATAAATCCTTTGCTAAAACTTTTTTAAAAAATAAAGTGGATTCTGTCATACACATACCATTTTTTTCTGTTTAAGAAATACATGTATTAATTTTGTAATACAAACACTTCAAAGCTCAATTATTAGTTTCCCTCTTCCAAAACTCAGTGTGAAGCAGGGTGAGTTACTTTATCAAATGGAGTTCTTGAAATAAGATTCTTTTAGAAAAAACACTCTAAATTCTATCCTACTCTTATACCTTTATATATTTTAATAAAGATGATTTGAGAATTTTGATAAGCTTGATTTATACCCATTCTCTACACACCTCCACACTAAGCTATATACTGAAATATTGTCAGAGGCTTTCTGGAGAAATCCTAAAAATATTTTACTTTCTGCTTCTTCTGTAGGGTACTTGGCACGTACTGAGGGAGCCCCAGAGGAATAATTAATATTGAGGGAGCCATTCATTCACGAACATGGAAGAAGGGAAAAATACTGAATTTCATCATCGTGAAAAATTTTTCATGCCCTGTTTCTTGTGGCCAGGGTCCAGGGGCTTTGGGCTTTCTGCAAGAATATTTTCTAACTAGACAAATCCAAATAATATTTTTGAAGCATTTTAGAAAGTTTGAAAGGGTAGATGTTCTGTGTACTTTTTTTCTTGGAATAACGGATTTATAAGTCCTCCTAAAAGAAAAAAATCCAGCTGTCACATACTGGTCATTCTGTAAAGTTAGAATTGTTCCTATACAGTGAACATTGGCATTTCAGGGGCCTCACGGATCTCTGAACACCCCCATTAATCCCAAGGGGAGTATGCTTACCAACAGCAAACAAGAGGGATGATGAGCTGAGGTGTGATGCTGCCTGGGTCAAACAAGTGTCTACCAGTGGAGGTGTGGTCTTAATTTGTTGACAGTTTACTCATTTCAAGTTAACCACTTCAGAAAGGCACAAAAAACCATCCAAGTAGGTTGTTTGCTTAATGGGTGTATAACGGCTTTGGGCAAACAGTTATATATGACACACACCAATGGGGACAGTCATCATGTTCCATCATTCCATAGTAAAGCAATCATTTCTTGGCAAGTTGCAAGTTGAGACCTACAAACAACCCTCCTCAATGCTATGCAAAGACACAAAGGAAATGTACAGAAACAATATCCTCTTGGTCTAACATTTTTAGACCTTCATATTTTGCCCTTTACACATCTATGATCTATATCAAGGTCTTCCTAATTCAGAAATATAGAAACATCATTTTCACGTACTTAATAGAAGAAAGTTCTAGCTAACCCTGAATAGTGTGGCCCTTAAAAGGAGACACAGTATATCCTGTTGAATTTCACGCTGTATTTTGTTATTAACCCAGCAATAAATTCCATATTGACTTTTTTGTTAAGAAGAGGCAGCACCGAAAAAAAAAAATTCTTAAGGGGATTCCTGGTACTGCACATGACCAAAAGGGAACGCAAACGTTGAAGAGTCATCCAAAAATCCGATCAACTTTTCACCCTGGGTTCTGTTTACAGACTCCTCAGCTCACATTGTTGGAATGAGACAAATATAGCCAGTTCTGCTTTGATCTGTGGTCAGCTTGGCTTTCCAATCCTGGCACAATGGTGACATTTAAGAGGCAAAGGGATAAAATTATTTTCATTCCAGCCTTTTAAACATGATAAAGACTTATAAAACAGTTCTGGCCAAAGATGAATTTGAATCTAAACAGGGCACATTTTTTATACTTTTTTTCCTTTCAAAATAAAATGTCCTTTTTCTTACCCTGCTGAGTATTTACAGAGGTATAAATAGTTAAGTAGGCAAACATATCATTCCCCTCAATCATCTTGTTTAAGAGGATGGATTGGATTGTACTGGGGGACCATGGGGGAGGAAGAATTGCTGCAAGGTACAGCCCAAACCAAACCAAGATTGGTACTGCAAACAATTCTCTGTCACTGTCCAGAAAGAAAGATCATAACTTTGAAAACAATTAATCCAGTTTCCAGAAAACAAAACAAACCCTCATCTATGTATTTGTTTACTCATCACTCAACACTCAGTTGTCTGAATCACTGGAATGCTTGCTGCTTCACCTGCAACCCAGCCTCCTAATCTGACAGCTGAGACCACTTATAAGAGATACAGGAATTGAGGGAGAACCTGTTAATTAACTTCACCTATTTCAGAAGAAAAGGCCTCTTTCCTCCTCTTCAGCCCAACTTTCCATTTCTATCACTCTGAAAAGAAGCTATGGGGAATGAGGGAAAACAGAAGGATGTGAGGGGATGTTGGGATACAGGCAAAGCCCACGGACTGTGATATTGCCTACCAGACACATACCTATAGAAACAAGCTTGTGTGGACTATCACCACAAGTTCGGATCTACGGGTTTGTGGCAACAGGCCTCAGTATCTTCTCTCGTTTGGGGGTTTGACATGTCTGAAAACAAAATGTTAAAACCATTAGTCCAACAAAAGATTCTGCCATTCAATTGTTTTATGCCAGAGATGGAAAGGATTTCATCCTGCTCTCAAAAGGGCAAACGTTAAGTAAAATCTTCCTGTTCTCTCCCCTTTACTTCCCTTGGGTTTTTACTCTTTCTACAATATAGCAAGCCTTAAGTATATTCCACATTACTGTGTAATATATGGAACCTTTATTTATTTAATTCTTAACATACAGTCTGTGCAAACTGATATCAATATGGCCAACAGTGGAATAAAGAAATTTCCTTAAATAGTGGGGGGTGAAGGGGAAGCAATACAGTGCTCAAGTACTCAAGATCATTTTCTTAAATACCTGTAACCCCATGACAAAAGACAGCAGAATTTTTTATTTGTAGGTTGGAAAACTGGAATAAGCTAGCAAGCACTATCAACAGACTTGAAAGAGTATTTTCTGAACAACTGTTCTAGAGGACAATTCTAACTATACTAAATTAGAAGATTCACCTTCAGGAAAAGTTTGATTTTGTTCACATATACTCCCATCCCTACACTTAATATCGGTCCAAACACCAATAATGAACAAGTTTGGGTATATTTTGTGAACTTTGATCCATAAAACTGTTGTTTTTTTTTTTTTTTTTGCTGCCTCTAAAACTGTTCAAGAATATGGGGATGAATTGGTTTCCTCTTACAATAGGATTTCATTTGCTGGCATACCACCCTTTCGCAAAGCGTAAGAATGGGACATCCAAGACAATGCATCTTTATTAATGGCTCCTTTTGTGGATTTTGTTGAAGACACAGTCTGAATCATAAACACTTTGGACATATGTTGGGACAGCTAAATAATTCCCATGCCCAGATGTTGGGAAAAGCTTATGCCTTCTACCTTTTGAATAACCTAAGAAGAGATCTTTCTCACTTTTGTTAGCTATGACTTTGTATCTTGGCTTTCAAAATAATCTCCTTCCCTTTGACAAATGGATATTCGCTCCTTTTATACAAATCTGAGAGATGAACTGAGGCTCTATCAATAATAGCAACAAGAAGAAATACAGAGCTGAATTGGGGAATTATTCAGAGAGAAGATGTGGCTCAATGTATACAACTGAAAAGGTGAAATGAAGAAAATAGGAAACCACCAGTAGGCAGAACAGGGGCTAAGAAGCAACCACCCAAAGATATGTTTTTGTTTGCCTATTTCATCCCAAGTGAGTGATGGGTACGATTGCTTGGAGCCTGCTGATGCTGCAGAGTTGCCAAAACCGAGAACTTACTTGAAATTCTGTGAGGCTTGACTTCCAGATTCAAAGAAACAACAACAGCAAGTGGAAATAAATTGTATCCAAACCAGAAACCTCCAAATTGTCTTTACTTAATTAATTTTATTAAAAAATGTTCATTTCCCTTATAAAATAAAGGATTTTAAAATAAGCCCTCAGCCTCTTTTTTTCTTTGATCTCTCTGACAAAGGAATGGGTCCAGAAGTATTTAAGGATGGTCACTTTGAACACTGTCAATGATTGCCGAAATATGAGAACACGGGCATTCTTATTAAAATCTAAAGGAAAAAATAGTCCCAGACTCCCAAGATAATGAGAACTTATTGTTATTGTGGGTCAAATATCCCTAATCCAATATCTGAAATGCATCAAAATCTAAAACTTTTTGAGCACTGACATGCTACACGTGGATATTTCCATACCTGACCTCATCTACTAATTCTCAGTTAAAATGTAGATACACTAAAAATAATGTAAAAATTACCTTTAGGCTATGTGCATAAGGTAGATATGAAACATAAATGAGTTTTGTGTTTCGACTTGGCTCTCATTACCAATATATTTCAATATATTGCCTCTAAAAAATCAGAAATCCACAATGGTCCCAACTATTTTGGATAAGGGATACCCAACCTATATCATGTTTAGCAAAACAATATGAGCATTATTTGTCAGCCATCCACTAGGATCTGTCAAAGTGGTACTTTTAGTCCTTCAAATAGCACCACTTTCATAAATTTGACTGGCCCTCTCTAAGTCCATAGAAGGGAGCTGCGTTTTAGTTGTACCTTTCTTTGGCAAATATTGGACAGAGAAAAGTTATTCACTCAAAATGATTACTAACATTAACTTCCAAAGAATTCAAAGTTTTAAATTCAGAATATAAAAGAGCAAATAGAAAATATATCCAAGCTACAGAAAAAAAGGAGAAACAGGAAAGGAAATAATCAAATAAAATCAAAACAAATACTGACCCTAGTAGAGAAAGGGTTTCTTTGGGAATAGATATTTTCCCTAAAATATTAATTGAATACCTCCTTCAAAAAAATTTTCTGATTTGAGGCAGAAAATAAGAATTCTTTTCAGAAAAAAATTGAAAGTCATTAAGCAAGACTCCATGGGGCTTTCTTAGACACAGTAATATTTAAGTTGGAAAATATAAGCCTATAAACAATGGCAAAGCAGGGTAAGAGAATCTGCCAAGCGAATATATTGTTAAAGTTATTAACCATTTTTAGTTTGGTATGAAGTACTTAAATGACACTAAAAGGCAACTGTCTATCTCAAGAGAGCCGAGGTCAAGTCTTACTCACTGGATGTATATTCAGAGTTTCAGCTAGTGCTATATTGTATTAATAAACTAAGGCTAAAGTTAAAATATCAATAATGACATTCTACAATTTACAGATCTATAATTCAGAACACTTGATAGCCTCTTTAGAACCAATTCACTAAGCGTGACTTTTTCTTTTTTAAATTCAAATACCTATGCTAGACACAGAGTTTGTGGGCATTGCCTGCTGGTTTCAAACACATTCTGCCTAAATTATTGTCAAAAGAAACACGCACTATTATACAATTAATTTAAAAAAACTGTTTCAAAGTGCATAGAATTGAATGCCATGATTGTTGTACCCATTGGCTTTCAAAATTATAAAACTGGTTGCTAGTTTTAAAAAATTAAATTTAAAATGTAGTTCTTTGTAATTAAATCATTCATGTATGCCCTAAAAATATGTAGTCCTTGAGGAAATGGAAGATTTGAGAGAAATTACAGGAAAGTATCATTACCTGAGAGAGGTAACTTCTTGCAAATCTTATTTTTAAAGTTGCTTCTGTGTTGCTAGGACTGAAATCTTCAAATCATTCACCCGCGTCTAGAAAATAAGACATTTAAAATAATTTGAAGTGGATCAGGATTCTTTGCTTGGTTTTTTGTGTTGTTGTTGGTTTCTTTTTTGTTACCCAATTCTTTTGTAAATTTAAGTTGGAAGTAACACCACAAGAAGAGTAAAAAGGAACATCAAAACTGAAATAAAAGTATTTCTAAAAGAACACTCAGAAGCATTATGTTTACTTCATTTCTAGCACTACCCATAATAAAAAGGTTCTGCAAATAAGTAACTTTCATATTTTTCCTGGAATTTCCCTGGCTACCAACGGACTTTTGAGAACGATTTTACCAGAAAAATGATCAAATAGGAATGTGAGGTCTCAGAATACTCCCAAATTCCAATGATTTATACCAAAGCACTCACTTGCTAAATGTAGTTATAAGAGAGGCCATCAAAAATTAAGAATGGGTACAGCATGATGAAGGAACCAGGCAGTGATTACCTGACACGATGTAGCATCAGTGAGACTGAGCTCTAACTTTCTGACTCTACAAGGATTCAGTAGTCATTATTCCTGTCTGTTGAGAGGACTGCTAGAAAGGAGCAAGTACCTGATCATGGTGGATTCATGAGTCTGTCCCCTTCCACCAAGCAGGGTGCTTGGCTTCCATTCCACTGTTCTTTCATTGGCCATATTTTGAATGCGGGGTTTGCCTCTCCTGCATTGTTCCTCCATTAATGAAGGCGAACTCACTGTGCAGCTGCTCGCAAAGGGGAAAACCTATTTGAGTTTTGCCTGGCCGTGGACTTGAACACCAAATCCACGGTGATGTCAGCAGAACTGCACCAACAGAGTTTTCTGCCCTCTACCCCTCCTTCTTTTTTTAAAGATGTACGTCCTGTGCAAAATCACAGTGGATCTCCTTTGTCATGAAGAGATGGGGCAATTTGACTAGACAATTATGAATGAAGGAAAAGATGAAGGGTGGGAAAAAAGGAAAGTGAAAAAGAAAGACAGGAAAAGAGAGAGAGGAAAGGAAGGAAGGAAGGAAAAGAAAGAAAGAAAGAAAGAAGCTTGCTCAAATCTACTCTTTGTCATTCACCCAGGCACCCAACCTCATAAAGCAGGGAGACAAGTAGTTTTTGATCCTTTCATGAATTTTCAGTTTTCCTGTCTTTTCTCTCACTGTCTGCAGTCCCTGTTTTATGCCGAAAGTTCCAGTTGCCTCAACAAAAGAGGCGCATCCAGCAATCACCACTCCCAGGGTAATTCATGGTGCTCTGAGTCACACCATGCCATGCCACGCTTTCTCCACCTGAGATATTGCCAGAGGAGACCAGTCCACAATGTGAGAGCATCTCTGAAGCATGCGATACAGTACCGAAGCCAGGTTGAATTAATTCTTTGCCCAGGAAAAAAATGATCAGAAGGGAGGAGGGAAGGAAAGAAACCAGCAATAGAAATTGGTATTCATAATCTTCCCACCACGTACTCATTGTGTTAAAAAAATACTTTATGAAAAATGACAAATTAAAGCGTATGCAGGTCGACTAAAGAACAAAGACATGAAAAATGATATGATGGAATAAGATAGATAGGATGAAAACAAAAGATGTCCTGAGATTGAGTACAGACTTATTTTTTTTCTAATTATAAAAAAACCTAACACCACTTAATGTTTACTTACAACAGATGTATAACGAAGGTCAACAATTTAAGAATGAGAAATAAGAAACAAATTTGCTTTTGACACAGTCGATGAAACAAAGGAGAAAGAGACTTGGCCAGTCACAAGTTGCTTCGCGTACAGCTGGCTAAGGAAGGCTACTTTCACTTTGGAAAGGAACAAGTTCCCTCACAGTGACAATTTTTCTTCCTTTTTCAAATGCAATGAGGTCAGCCTACAACTTCCTTTCTAGGTATATTGTTAATAATCAGAGACAAGGATTAAAGTGAAAAAAACAAACAATAGGACCCTGATTCTGACATAGAAACAGGTGACATGTATTTTTAAAACATCAGATGTCTGTCATTTCTTGAATTTAAAACAAGCTGTAGGTTACAGGAATCCTCCCTTGTAGGCTCACCAACTTTAAATGTTCTTTTCTTTCCAATGCTGTTTTGCTCTTGAGAAAGCATACCACAAATTAGATTAGAAAGAGGGATGCAGAATGAAGGAATATATGCGATCAACAGAGTCCCATATTTCCTTAGAGATCTAACCGTGTTAACAATAGGATTCTTGTCCTGGGAAAGGTATAAAGGAGGCTGGAACCTCCACAGTGATACTTACAAAAAGAGGCAAATGTCAAACCCAAGAAATTGTCAGCAGAAGCAGAAAGCCCTCGCTTACTTCAGGGCACAAATTCACTTAGTGGGAGAGCCACAGACCTGCTCCCTCTGCATTTGACCTGGGAGTCCAGCTTTTCTCACCTAAGGTTCTCTTTGGGCCTTCCTTCTGATCTCCACAACTGCCTCTTCTTTTGGAACAACAACCAACCAAATAGAGTACAACTTTAAATAGTCTCTGCCAAGTTGAAGTTCAGACAGAAAAGAAGAAGCCCATGTTATCTACTTCCTGCTCTCAACTTTCCCCAAAATTGTTTGGTTGTTTTCTTTCCATCCCTCCATCCACCCCTAATACTCTCTCTCTCTCTCCCCCCCACCCGGCCTTGCCCCCCGCTCTTTCTGTCTCTCTTCCTTCTCCCTCTCTCTCTTTCTCCCTCCCTTCTCTTTTTCTCTCTTTCTCCCTCTACCTTCCTCACTCTCTCTCTCCCTCCACTCCTCTCTCTGTCTCTCTCTCTCTCTCACACACACACGCACACACACACACACACACACACACACACACACACACACCACACACATATAAACTGCCACTTGGTCCAATCAGGTACCTGCTTAACAATAACAGAATGACAAGCAACATCTGTTTGTAAAACAGCCAAAATGAAACCTTAAAGCTTTTTGGCTAGGTTTCTTTTTTCCTTTTTCCCTTGACTCTAAAATGGGAGAGGGTAAGAAGGAGAAACATTCAGATTTATATTCGGCGTGGGCTCTGATGAGGCAGCATCTCAGTTCCCCAAGGGCTGTTTGAAGGTAAAGCAATTTTAGGTAAAACCACTGCAGTATTTAGGGTTGTTTTCCCTGAAACGAGCCCAGTCACATGAAATCCAGCATACCAAATGCCTAAAAGTCAGTTTTTCTCTGATAGCTTCATGCTTATCTTCTCCCTAGAACGGCAGACCTTTTGGGGTGGGGGGGAGGATAATGAAAGAAAGGGAGAAAAGCAAGAGAGAAAAGGCAAAGAAAGAGCAGGGAGGAAGGGAGCTCTGCTCTGCTGTTTCTTCCTTCTTTTGTACCAACAGGCACGTTTACACACATGCCCCACACAGGAGCAGGCACTAGGAGCAGTGAGGCTGTGGCAGGAATCTGCACAGCTGTGGCCATCGGCAACTGGCTCTGTCATTCCCCCATGGAGATGTGGATTTCTGGAAAGCTACCAACCATCCACAAAGTCACAATGCAAAGAACTACCTCCGCACGCGTGTGTGTGTGTGTGTGTGTGTGTGTGTGTGTGTGTGTGTGTGTGTGTAGGGATGCGGGGGGAGTTAGGGAGTCAGGGAGCTGGTAAGAGAAAGAAAGTCATTCAATGCACCAATTTTGCCCCAGCCAAAGGGATCAGGGAACTGTTAGAGGCTCAATAACCATCTCACTCAGGATTTGGAAGAAACCCACACACACTAAGGGAAAAATAAATTCAGACAAGTTGCTAAGGAGACTTGTGTAAACTCCAAGCACAGACATATTTCTTGGCCTTTCCCCCTGCGCTCCATCTTGTATTCTGATCACGCAGCTCTGCGGCAGCCTCACACCAACCTTCTGCATTAATCTTGGCCTTAACCGTGCAGTCTGCAGACTGGCAGAGTTCACACTGGTTGTAGATATTATCATTCTTCAAACTTAACAAGTTAAAGGATGTGTGTGTGTGTGTGTGTGTGTGGTGTGTCTAGTAAGGAGAGAGTAAGGGAATTTTTATTTGAATTTTTTTAAATATAGGTGTTGAACAAAGAAGAATGTTTACACTGCATACTTGGGGAACAAGGGGGGAGAAGAGTAGGTAAAATATTCAGTTCTGGAAATTTCCCCTTGCCTGTGGATTCTGTCCTTTCTCTCTGGCCCTAGATTTTGTCCCCTACCACATGTCCAATTAAAATCCTGTCCCCTGCTAGATGTAGGAAAGTCTGAATCCCCAGGTTTCTGCAGAAAACAGTGCATTCCTCAAAATGGAAACCTTTCCTCCGCCCCCGTGTTCAGGAGGCTTTCTCAGAAAGATCAGGTCATTGCAAACAAACTGGAACTGTTCCTCAAATGTCCAACTCAATCCTGGTTAGATTCCAAGGCAGCCAGCTCCTCAGAGGAGACATTCAGCCCGATCTCCATTCTTTGAAGCAGAGAGCTTCTCCCAGTCACACATCTTCTGTAGTAGCTGATATATGTCAACATTTGATTTAGGAGAAAATTAACATTTTCTTTCAGGACAGTGATGTTTGTACTGTAGAAGCCAATATTTTCCTTTCTTGGTCTCCTGCATTAGAGTTTCTATAATTTTCCCCAAGACAGAGAAAAGATAGACAAAAAATAATTCAGATCATTGTTTGGAGTGCCCCAATGTGTGTATGTCTATGTCTATTTGCATGTGCTTATGTGTTTGCATATGTGTGTTTTTCCCACGTGGGCACATATATATGTTTGAGTGTGGTTTGTGCATGCATGTTCATGCCTGTATGTGTGTAGTTTTATGTATTTGTGTAGATGTGTGTGTCTGTCCATTTTGTGTGTGTTCGTGTGTATATGTGTTGACATGTGTGCACTTGTGCATGTGCTTGCGTGTGTGCATTTGTGCATGTGTGTGTGCGTTTCTCTGCTTTACTATGATGGTGAGATTAGTAAGGCACACACCAAGACAGCTGGGGGCTAGGCATCTGCTTGGTCCCTTTCTAAATTAGGGAAGTTAGCAACACTTGCCCACCAGCCATAA